TACGTGTCAATCTTCCTCTTATCCTCCCATGATGTTAGAGTCCTCTCAAAGTTCTGGAACGTAGAAATAGAATGTAGAAATAGAATGAACAGAATGGACATGACGGATGCGTAGAGGTTTATTAGATACATCTGTTGCCCTAATGCAGTGTTCCTCAATCCTGGTGTGCAGGCTTTTGTTCCAGCCCAGCACTCAATTTGACAAACCAAACTATTATTCGATAAATTGAATTAGGTGTGTCAGAGCTGGCCTGGAACAAAAGTTTGCCAATCCACACACACCCTCCCAAACACACACGTACCCTGTCTCTGGTAAGCATCTGAGCTCTGTTCTTGTGTGTGATCTTGACTATCCCTGGAGGTTGGATCCATGCTTCTCCATCCACCTGTACTGGTACACCCTCCTCCCCTAGGATAGTTATCTTCACCTGACGACACTGGAGAGAGGGAGGAGAGGGAGGGGGAGGGGGAGGGGGGAAGGAGGAGGGGAGAGGGGAGAGGGGGAGAGGGGGAGAGGTATGGGGGAGAGAGAGAGGGAGGGGGGAGAGCAAGAGAGGGATTCAGTATGTGTATGTGAGTGTGGTCAATTCAATATAATTCCTACTGACTTTAGAACTTTATAATGTGACTGTGATGCATGTATTGAAGGTTTGTGTGTGTTAGTGTGTGTGTTGTTACCTGTGCAATGCGGTGGGGTGTGCAATGCGGTGGGGTGTGTGTGTTACCTGTGCTATACGGTGGTGTTGGATGTTGATGACTCTGGATACAGCCATCTGCATACTGCCAAACACAGCCACCACCTCTAACTTCTTATCATCAAACGATGGAGCGCCAAAATTCTGAACACAAATAACCAAAAAACGAATTACTTGTACAAATAAAAAACAATAAATGCATCATATAAGAGTGCGACTTGTTGAAATTAATTCTGATCCACAGTTACCAGGTAAGACAGTATACCAGCTAAAGGTTGGCTGCAAAGTGTAAACATTATTTTTTTGGTGAATAAGAAAAGTGTATGTTAACTCACGTTGTCCTCTTTGGTACCCCCCCAAAAGTTGATTCCCCCTGCATAGCTGGGGATGTTGAGAACAGCTAGACCCTGAAGACTAGGCAGACACATAGGTACACCATCACACTGGAGAGAGAGAGAGAGAGAGAGAGAGAGAGAGAGAGAGAGAGAGAGAGAGAGAGAGAGAGAGAGAGAGAGAGAGAGAGAGAAAATAACATTTGTTTATCATACAGGTCACAGAACCAAGGGTAGGATAATTTGATACACAAAAAAACATCTTATTGTCAATCACTCTCTCATATGTACTGATAGTATTAGCGATAACTACAGTACCAGTCAAAAGTTGGGACACACCTAATCATTCAAGGGTTTTTCTTAATTTTTACATTGTAGAATAATAGTGAAGACATCAAAACTATGAAATAACACATATGGAATCATGTAGTAAGCAAAAAAGTATTAAACAAATCAAAATGTATTTTATATTTGAGATTCTTCAAATAGCCACCCTTTGCCTTGATGACAGCTTTGCACACTCTTGGCATTCTCTCAACCAGCTACACCTGGAATGTTTTTCCAACAGTCTTGAAGGAGTTCCCACATATGCTGAGCACTTGTTGGCTGCTTTTCCTTCAGACTGCGGTGCCACTCATCCCAAACCATCTCAATTTGGTTGTGGTCGGGGTATTGTGGAGGCCAGGTCATCTGATGCAGCACTCCATCACTCTCCTTGGTAAAATAGCCCTTACAAAGCCTTGAGGTGTGTTGGTTCATTGTCCTGTTGAAAAACAAATGATAGTCCCACTAAGCCCAAACCAGATGGGATGGCGTATCGCTGCAGAATGCTATGGTAGCCATGCCGGTTAAGTGTGCCTTGAATTCGAAATAAATCACTGACAGTGTCACCAGCAAAGTACCTCCATACCATAACACCTCCTCTCCAATTTGGACTCCAGACCAAAGGACACATTTTTACCGGTCTAATGTCCATTGCTCGTGTTTCTTGGCCCAAGCAAGTCTCTTCTTCTTATTGGTGTCCTTTAGCAGTGGATTCTTTGCAGCAATTCGACCATGAAGGCCTGATTCACACAGTCTCCTCTGAACAGTTGATGTTGAGATGTGTCTGTTACTTGAACTCTGTGAAGCATTTATTTGGGCTGCAATTTCTGAGGCTGGTAACTCTAATGAACTTATCCTCTGCAGCAGAGGTAACTCTGGGTCTTCCTTTCCTGTGGCGGTCCTCATGAAAACCAGTTTCATCATAGCGCTTGATGGGTTTTGCGACTGCACTTAAAGAAACTTTCAAAGTTCTTGACATTTTCCGTATCGACTGACCTCAAACGCATTAAGAAAAGAAATTCCACAAATTAACTTTTAAGAAGGCACACCTGTTTGTTGAAATGCATTCCAGGTGACTACCTCATGAAGCTGGTTGAGAGAATGCCAAGAGTGTGCAAAGCTGTCATCAAGGCAAAAGGTGGCTATTTTGAAGAATCTCAAATACAAAATATACTTTGATTTGTTTAACACTTTTTTGATTACTACATGATTCTATATGTGTTATTTAATAGTGTTGATGTCTTCACTATTATTCTACAATGTAGAAAATAGTAAAAATAAAGAAAAACCCTTGAATGAGTATGTGTGTCCAAACTTTTGATGGTAGTGTACACCACAACGTCAGAGAAAGATGTTGGAGCGCCATTTAGCAGAAATCACACTAGACTAGAACACACTTCCTCATTCCTTAGAAGTGTATATTTGTTTGCCTTTGTGTGTGTGTGTGTGTACTTATTTGTCATTCGACCGTGCGTGACCTTACTTCCAACAGTACTCGTTGTTCCAGGTTCTTGTATGTCTTATGTACCAGTTCCTTGGTGCCCATCACCCCATACCACAACTTGTTCTTAGTACGACTACTGCAGTGAGCCAGAGAGAGAAAAGGATGTATTTTATAACTTTCATCAAGTACCATGATATGCTAAAACATTTAACCATGAAGAAATATTCTCATTATAACTTCCATTTACCTTTCATTGCCTTGGTGCAAATTGTACACTATTTTGCAATATACAGTACATGTATCAATAAAGTCTGTATTTGAATAAGAGGATATTATGTACCTGCATTTCTTGGGATGTTCGTCTCTCTTGTTGTTGAACTCCAAGGAGATCTTAGCATCCAGACCGATCCCAAAGTAGTTGTTCATTACACACTTCTCTGAGCACTGACTATAGAGGGACACACAGCATAAGAAACATTAATATTCTCCAATATCAATTATTGAGTTGGCCTATACAGTGCATTCGGAAAGTATTCAGACCCCTTGACTTTTTCCACATTTTGTTACGTTACAGCCTTATTCTAAAATGGATTTAAAAAATTTAAATCCTCATCAATCTACACACAATACCCCATACTGACAAAGCGAAAACAGGTTTTTAGAAATTTTTGCAAATGTATTAAAAATATAAAACAGAAATACCTTATTTACATAAGTATTCAGACCTTTTGCTATGAGACTCGAAATTGAGCTCAGGTGCATCCTTTTTCCATTGACCATCCTTGAGATGTTTCTACAACTTGACTGGAGTCCACCTGTGGTAAATTCAATTGATTGGACATGATTTGGAAAGGCACACACCAGTCTATATAAGGTCCCACAGATGACAGTGCATGTCAGAGCAAAAACCAAGCCATGAGGTCGATGGAATTGGTCGTAGAGCTACGAGACAGGATTGTGTCGAAGAACAGATCTGGGGAAGGGTACCAAAACATTTCTGTAGCATTGAAGGTCCCCAAGAACACAGTGGCCTCCATCATTCTTAAATGGAAGAAGTTTGGAACCACCAAGACTTCCTAGAGCTGGCCGCCCGGCCAAACTGAGCAATCGGGGGAGAAGGGCCTTGGTCAGGGAGGTGACCAAGAACCCGATGGTCACTCTGACAGAGCTCCAGAGTTCATCTGTGGATATGGGAGAACCTTCGAGAAGGACAACCATGTCTGCAGCACTCCACCAATCAGGCCTTTCTGGTAGAGTGGCCAGACGGAAGCTACTCCTCAGTAAAAGGCACATGAAAGCTGCTTGCAGTTTGCCAAAAGGCACCTACAGACTCTCAGAGCATGAGAAACAAGATTCTCTGGTCTGATGAAACCAAGATTTAACTCTTTGGCCTGAATGCCAAGTGTCACGTCTGGAGGAAACCTGGCACCATCCCTACGGTCAAGCATGGTGGTGGCAGCATCATGCTGTGGGGATGTTTTTCAGCGGCAGGGACTGGGAGACTAATCAGGATCGAGGGAAAGATGAACGGAGCAAAGTACAGAGAGATCCTTGATGAAAACCTGCTCCAGAGCGCTCAGGACCTCAGACTGGGGCGAAGGACAATGACCCTAAACACATAGCGAAGACAACGCAGGAATAGCTTCGGGACAAGTCTCTGAATGTCCTTGAGTGGCCCAGCCAGAGCCCGGACTTGAACCCGATCAAACATCTGTGGAGAGACCTGAAAGTAGCTGTGCAGCGACGCTCCCCATCCAACCTGACAGAGCTTGAGAGAATCTATAGAGAAGAATGGGAGAAACTCCCCAAATACAGCTGTGCCAAGCTTTGTAGCGTCATACCCAAGAAGACTCAAGGCTGTAATCGTTGCCAAAGGTGTTTCAACAAAGTACTGAGTTAAAGGGTCTGAATACTTATTTAAATGTAATATTTCAGTATTTTTATAAATTTTTATAAATTTGCAAAGATTTCTAAAAACCTGTTTTTGCTTTGTCATTACGGGGTATTGTGTGTAGATTGAGGGGGGGGGGGGAAATATTTAATCAATTTTAGAATAAGGCTGTAACGTAACTACTGTAAAACCGCTCACTGTAATATTGTATCAACAAAGACTGATTGATTGTGAACTGTGCTAAATTCAATCAAACTTGCATTGAGGTATTTTATGTAATTTCTAGATCAATATATTTTTTTAAACACACACTACTTACTCTTCGTTGAAGGACGGAGGGCTGAGACTCTCTGGTTTCTCCAGGAAGATGGTGGAGGAGGAGGGGCTTAAACTGACGTGACCTGAGAGATGCATTATGGGTAAATGGACCATGAAGTGTGATTTTAACTAACATCTTTATTTAAATTGAAACATTTACAGGGCCCTCCCACTCAGTAGTGTGGCCCAAACATGTAAGGGCCACAATGTTGACTGCAATTGGAAGTTAGAATGTATCTTTAGAGTAGGATTCAAAATGTTGAATAAAAAATGTTTGTGTGAGTGCGTGCGTGTGTCTGTAGTAACTCACATGGCTCTGCCTCTTTCAGTTCCTCACTGTTCTCTCTCTTGATGGAGGAGGAGGAAGACATGCGCTGGAGATGAGTGTGTTTGTTCTGTTCATCCACCACTGGAGAGAGAGAGAAGGAGTGAGAAAGAGGGAGAGAGTGGGGGGAGAGAGGTAGAGAGAGCAGTATATGTGAGCTTTTATGTGGGCGTTTGCATTACATGAGCGCTTCTGTATGTGTGTGTGTGTTACAGTGTATATATCTATTCATTATACACTCAATGACTAAAAGTATGTAGACACCTGCTCATTGAACATGTCATTCCAAAATCATTGGCATGAATATGGAGCTGGTCCCCCCTTTTGCTGCTATAACAACCTCCACTCTTCTGGGAAGGCTTTCCACTAGATTTTGGAACATTCCATTCAGCCACAAGAGCCATGGAAACCCATTTCATGAAGCTCCCGACGAACAGTTCTTGTGCTGACGTTGCTTCCAGAGGCAGTTTGGAACTCGGTAGTGAGTGTTGCAACCGAGGACAGACAATTTTTACGCGCTACGTCTTCAGTACTTGGCGGTCCCGTTCTGTGAGCTTGTGCGGCCTACCACTTCGCGGCTGAGCCGTTGTTGCTCCTAGACGTTTCCACTTCACAATAACAGCACTTACAGTTGACCGGGGCAGCTCTAGCAGGGCAGAAATCTGACGAACTGACTTGTTGGAAAGGTGGCATCCTATGACAGTGCCACGTTGAAGTCACTGAGGTCTTCAGTAAGGCCATTCTACTGCCAATGTTTGTCTATGGCGATTGCATGGCTGTGTGCTTGATTTTATACACCTGTCAGCAACGGGTGTGGCTGAAATAGCCAAATCTACTAATTTGAAGGGGTGTCCACATACTTTTGTACATATAGTGTATGTGTGTTTCTATATATAAGTGTTTGTGTGTGTGTGTTGTACCTTGCTCAGCCTGTTCTATGATCTGTCTCAGTGCTTTCTTCAGACTGTTAGCTCTCAGCATCAGCTGTTCTCTGGACCTATAGCAAATTTGGAGACAATTCAAATTCAAGTAAGTCAATCTTACATTTTTTAAATTTTAATTTCAAATCACTTCCTCCATTGAGTGACGCATACTTGAATTGACCCCAACCCTAACCTGTATGGGGGCCGGGGTTCTCCTCCGGGGGTGTCTGTACCCCTCTCCTGGTCCCCGTCCTGGAGTGGCACACTGCCGGCTGGGACTACCTGGGCATCAGCCTCCTCACTAAGAGCCTTTACCAGGCTGTCCAGCTTCTCATTCAACAGGGCACACTGAGGGAGAGATAAACATTACAATACATACTAGTCCTAACCCTAACCCTTCATCAGGCTGTCCAGCTTCTCATTCAACAGGGTACACTGAGGGAGAGAGAGACAGAGTGAGAGAGAGAGAGAGAGAGAGAGAGAGAGAGAGAGAGAGAGAGAGCTCAACAACTTAGCTCGGTTCAACTCAGTTTGGATGAACTGTATACTGCGGCATGATATCATAAAAATACAATACAATAGGTAATTTATGTAAATATTGCAGAACCAGGATCCACTAAATTGGAATATATTAATAAATGTGGACGTTTAAAAATATTCAGAGTAAAACATACTGCATATTACACTTTGCTTCCAGACAGTTAGACAGGAGAGAATGCCTCTGTGTCATGACTTCCGCCGAGGCTTCCCCCCCTCCTTGTTCGGGCAAGTTTCGGCATTCGTCGTCACCGGCTTACTAGCTACTGCCAATCCCATTCTCATCACTCCACTCGTCATGTCTTGTCTTGTCAATCACACACACCTGGTGCTCATTCCCCTAATTAGTATGTGTATCAGCGTTCCCTCTGTTCCCCTTGTCTTTGTGAGTGATTGTTTATTGTGAGAGCGAGTAGCTCGGTTGAGATACTCTTCCATGTGTATTTGCCAAGGTGGATTATTTTTCCCTTGTTAGTTTCGTTATGACGCTGGGTGCGTTTTATTTATGTGAACGGAATAAACTCTGGACTTCTGTGTTTTACCTCCTGTGCCTGACTCCTTCATTCACACCTCGTCACACTCTGTCTACGTCCCAAATGGCACCTTATTCTCTATATAGTGCACTACTTTTGACCATACAGGTCAAAAGTAGTGCACTATAAAGTGAATAAGGTGCCATTTGGAATGAAACCTCAAACCTTTTGATTTTCTATTGACCTAGATGCTCCTCTACCACTACCCACCTCTCTCTGCCCACTGGTTATCCGCATTATACAACCTGTTACGTAAGACACACACATTTATGCACGCAGAAACACACACACGCACGTACACACACACACACACACACACACACACACACACACACACACACACACACACACACACACACACACCTTCTTGGCCATAGTGTCTGCCTCCTCCTTGTTCTCTGTGGCTCTCTCGTATGCTCTCCCCACCTCCGCTACAAAATTATTCACCGTTCCACACAAAAACCTGCAGGAGAGAGGGTGAGTGGGATGGAGGAAGAGAGAGAGAGAGAGAGAGAGAGAGAGAGAGAGAGGAGAGAGAGAGAGAGAGAGAGGAGAGGGAGAGAGAGAGAGAGAGAGAGAGAGAGAGAGAGAGATGGAGAGGGATGGAGAAAGAGAGAGAAAGAGAGAGAGAGGGTGAGTGGGATGGAAGAAGAGAGAGAGGAAGAGAGCGAGAGATACAAGTGTGAAATATATTTCTCCATTCCTGTATTATGTATGTAAATTCAATAAACCATACTGTACTTCACATTTCAGGAGAGAGAGATAAGTACACAATATAAGCATAGAGCAGACATGTCATTCCCTATTGCACTGACGATGTCCCCTAGGTAGTACACTCTACAGCGCTAAGGAGGCCCCCAAAGTAGTGTCTCTAGTCTAATGCACTTCAAATGTCCCCCAAGTAGTGTACTAAGTAAGGTTTAATCTTGTGTAAGGACCCAGCTGGCAGAGGGACTGAGCAGTGTCCTTGGGGGAGGAGAAAATCAATACAGAGAGACACACAGACACCCTCCCACTCTCCTCTCTCTTCTAGCCTTCCCCACTCCCTCCCTCTTCAGAGACACTCCCTCGCTCTGCTTTACTCCCTCCTCCTTCACTCCAGACATCCTCAAGACATTCAGACATGATCCAACTCTCCCCCTCTCTCAATCTTGCCCTCCCTCCTCCCGCTCATCCTTCATCCTTCCCTCCCCCATATCCCTCCTCCCTCCATCCCCCCATCACATCTGGAGGACTGGGCTATCCCAGCATACATTGCACGTACTTGGCAGAGGATATGACATCTGTATGTTTGTCAGAGTCCAGGATCTTGGTGAGGTGGGAGGCCACAGAGTCTGCATACTGAGTGATGTGGACCTGAGGGGAGAGGAATGACAATTTCATTAAAAAGCCTGTGTATTGTGAGAAACTGTGGTGTCATTTTGGCTAAGAGAGTAAAAAGCAGTTAAATGTAAAAGCCTGTGTATTTTGAGAAATTGTGTCGGTACTTCAGCTCAAACTGGAGCCCTACACATACTGACTGATATGGACGTGAGAGGAGAGGAACAACCAGTTTCATGATAAAGCCTGTGCATTTACTCAGAGAGTAGTAGTGTTAGTAGAAGTATTTATTGGGATCCCCAATTAGCCGCTGCCAAGGCAGTGGGACTCTTCCTGGGGTCCAAACAGGAAACAAAACACAACAAATAAAATACATAATATATAACATAATATACATAATATACTGTACATAACACTACACCATACTACATAATCCTGCTTTGCCTCACGCTTCAGAACCAGGCTCCTGCCCTATGAGCCATTCCAGCTCGCACAAGCCAAGGATTCGTGCAAGGCGACCCACCTACAGTTGAAGTCGGAAGTTTACATACACCTTAGCCAAATACATTTAAACTCTGTTTTTCACAATTCCTGACATTTAATCCTAGTAAAAATGCCCTGTCTTAGGTCAGTTAGGATCACCACTTTATTTTAAGAATGTGAATTGTCAGAATAATAATAGAGAGAATGATTTATTTCAGGTTTTATTTCTTTCATCACAGAAATGTACATACACTCAATTAGTATTTGGTAGCATTGCCTTTAAATTGTTTAACTTGGGTCAAACGGTTCGGGTAGCCTTCCACAAGCTTCCCACAATAAGTTGGGTGAATTTTGGCCCATTCCTCCTGACAGAGCTGGTGTAACTGAGTCAGGTTTGTAGGCCTCCTTGCTCGCACATGCTTTTTCAGTTCTGCCCACAAATGTTCTATAGGATTGAGGTCAGGGCTTTGTGATGGCCACTCCAATACCTTGACTTTGTTGTCCTTAAGCCATTTTGACACAACTTTGGAAGTATACTTGGGGTCATTGTGCATTTGGAAGACCCATTTGCGACCAAGCTTTAACTTCCTGACTGATGTCTTGAGATGTTGCTTCAATTTGCTTCAATATCAATTTGCTTCAATATATCCACATAATTACCCTTCCTCATGATGCCATCTATTTTGTGAAGTGCACCAGTCCCTCCTGCAGCAAAGCACCCCCACAGCATGATGCTGCCACCCCCGTGCTTCACGGTTGGGATGGTGTTCTTCGGCTTGCAAGTGATCCCCTTTTTCCTCCAAACATAACAATGGTCATTATGGCCAAACAGTTCTATTTTTGTTTCATCAGACCAGAGGAAATTTCTCCAAAAAGTACGATCTTTGTCCCCATGTGCAGTTGAAAACCGTAGTCTGGCTTTTTTATGGAGGTTGCAGTTGCTTCTTCCCTGCTGAGCGGCCTTTCAGGTTATGTCGTTATAGGACTCGTTTTACTGTGGATATAGATACTTTTGTACTTGTTTCCTCCAGCATCTTCACAAGGTCCTTTGCTGTTGTCCTGGGATTGATTTGCACTTTTCGCACCAAAGTATGTTCATCTCTAGGAGACAGAACGCGTCTCCGTCCTGAGCGGTATGACGGCTGCGTGGTCCCATGGTGTTTATACTTGTGTACTATGTTTGTACAGATGAACGTGGTACCTTCAGGCGTTCGGAAATTGCTCCCAATGATGAACCAGACTTGTGGAGGTCTACAATTACTTTTCTGAGGTTTTGGCTGATTTCTTTTGATTTTCCCATGATGTCAAGCAAAGAGGCACTGAGTTTGAAGGTAGGCCTTGAAATACATCCACAGCTACACCTCCAATTGACTCAAATGATGTCAATTAGCCTATCAGAACCTTCATAAAGCCATGACATCCTTTTCTGGAATTTTCCAAGCTGTTTAAAGGCACAGTCAATTTAGTGTATGTAAACTTCTGACCCACTGGAATTGTGATACAGTGAATTATAAGTGAAATAATCTGTCTGTAAACAATTGTTGGAAAAATTACTTGTGTCATGCACAAAGTAGATGTCCTAACCGACTTGCCAAAACTATAATTTGTTAACAAGAAATTTGTGGAGTGGTTGAAAAACAAGTTTTAAAGTGTATGTAAACTTCCGACTTCAAATGTTTTGCCTAATTTCAGTTTATGTGTCAAAACAAGCAAGTATAGTGTAGAGAATCATTGTACCATCTAAACCGCTGTGAAATATATTTTCCATAACCCAAAATATTGTATTTTCAGCTGTTTGAAGCTGGTGTACAAAACCGAAAGTAAAAGACGCAAAAATGAAACTTAGGGACGGGAAGCATAGAAATAGCGCACACAGAACAGATATTCCACTTAGATTTGCTTTCAATGATAATGACAGATCATAAATCACATTTCTATGTGAATTTGGTCAGGTCGCCCAAAAAGTTACATATTGCAGCTTTAAAGAAAACTCTTTGTGTTCTATTAGATAGGTCACTTTCAATCCATGATAAGGCAGAGGACGCAAATCCATAACACCTACGTTTTTTCAGCAATAGGTTATGATCAATGATATCGAAAGCGGCACTGAAGTCTAAGAAAACAGCTCCCACAATCTTCTTACTATCATGTCTTTCAGTCTTTCATGTATTTCAGCCAATCATCAGTAATTTGTGTCAGTGCCAAGCATGTTAAGTGCCCTTCCCTATAAGCATGCTGAAAGTCTGTTGTTAATTTGTTTTCTGTAAAATAACTTTGTATTTGGTCAAACACAATCTTTCCAAAAGTTTGCTAAGCACTGGTAACAGGCTGATTGGTTGGCTGCTTAAACCATTAAAGGGTGCCCTGCTATTTTTGGGCAGTGGAATGACCTTTTCCTCCCTCCATGCCTGAGGGCAAACACTGTCTTCTAGACTTAAATTGAATATGTGGCAAACAGTAGTCTCAATGTATTCTGCTACCAACCTCAGCAATTTACCATCCAGGTTGTCGGTAACAGGTGGCTTGTCCTTATTTATAGATAGCAACAATTTCTTCCAAACCCACTTTGCGGAACTCAAAACTTCAATGCATGTCTTTCATTATTTGGTCCGTTATGCATGAATATGAAGGCTCAGCGTTTGTTGTTAGCATGTCATGCCTAAGTTTGCTAATCTTGTCAACAATGAAGTTATTAAAGTGGTTTTCAATATCAAAGGGTTTTGTTATGAACAAGCCATCTGCCTCAATTAAGGATGGAGCCTAGTTCATTTTTTTCCCTAGATTTTAATTAAAGGTACTCAAGAGCTTTTTACTATCATTCTTTATATCATTTATTTTTGCTCCATAGTAAAGTTTATTCTTCTTTTTTTTTAGTTTAGTTACGTGATTTCTCAATTTATTGTATGTTTGCCTTGTATGATCGCTTATACACAATTTTTAGGTTATTTAGTTCCTGTTCTGTTTGTACTGTAAATACTCTGGTAGGTTGACTGATAACCTGAACCAGATTGTAGGCAGCTTGAAGCTTCTTTTTGAGAGGACAGCTTGATGACAACTAGTCAATATTAAGGACACCCAGAAAATATACCTCTCTGTTGATATCACATACATTATTGGGCATTTCACACAAATAGCCAAAATACTGACTTATCAGCAACCAGTTTCATGATGAAGCCTGTGTATTTAGAAAAACTGTGGTGTCATTTTGGCTCAAAGAAACAACTTGTGTATTGTGATAAACTGTGGTGTCATTTTGGCTCAACGAGAAACAGACGGTTTCATGTTAAAGCTTGTGTAATTAGAATAACTGTGGTGTCATTTCGGATCAAACCTGAGCCCTAGGTACCTGTAAGGGGGAGTCGGGACTAAAATCGTCTTCCTTCACCATGGGATAGTGTTTGGTAGGCAGCTCGTATGTCATCACACTCCACCTGAGAACACAAACACAAACACACACTGATGTCAAATTCCAGGAAATCGCAGCATATCAACCAATGAGATCGGGACAAATGACACTGACAGTTATTCTGACTCACTCAACATATTGACATCATTTATTAGATTATTTTGTAGACTAAACAGATTACCTTAATCCTTCTCTAGTATGATAACCATAGAGAAAGTTGCTCATCCAGTCTTAGAAGATACGGTTTTGGAAAGTCCAGATTGTATGTTATCACTTACAGTTTATACCTTTTAGATGGTAAATACCGTTCAGATAGTAAATACCTTTCAGATAATAAATACCTGTCAAGCATCTTGGTGGTGGCTCGCTCCAGCTTCTCCAGGATCTGTAGCAGTTGAGCATCATCATCACATAGTCCTCCCCATCCCAGGACCCTGGCTAGGTCATTACCTGTACCCAGAGGGAGGACACCTAGCTGACACTGGAGGGAGGGTGGTGAGGGGAAGATGGGAGAGAGAGTGGAGGGGTATGAAACACACAGAACAGCTATCAAGACATATTTGAAGATATATACACACAGACATATGAAGAGAATGTTACTGGTCAGAATCTCTCTCTCTCTCTCTCTCTCTCTCTCTCTCTCTCTCTCTCTCTCTCTCTCTCTCTCTCTCTCTCTCTCTCTCTCTCTCTCTCTCTCTCTCTCTCTCTCTCTCTTTCTCTTAGACTTACTTGTTTGTGCAGGTTGAGTTTATCCAGTTCAGACAGGACCCAGCCAACACTGCCGTCCCCGCCACACACCAAGATACGAAACGTAGCAAACTTCTGGAACACACGCAGACTAGAGAAGAGAGGGAGAGAAACAGAGGATAATGGGAGAAAGGAGAGGAGAGAGGTGGAATCAGTGGAGCACTTCTCATAGCCAATAGTCAAAGATTGTTACAAATGATCAACATTAATAAGAAAGATTGGTAATACTTTACTTAAAGCAGGTATAATTACTTATAATTTTTGTTGTTGTTGTTTATCTGTCAGGGACTATGTACAACATGCTATTGCACCAGATTTAGCTAGATAGCTAACTTTCATCTGTAGTCCCTGATGCCTTTATAATGCATTAAGATGGGCATCATGGGCATGTATAACCTCCTTTTAATGTCATAATATCATCTCATAATGATCCTGACTAAATACCAGTATTATGAACCTTCAATAGACATTATAAAGCCACATATGTGCTTTTAACAAGTTATAAAGCCTTATACCTGTAGGCTTAAAGTAAAGTGTTACCCAAAGGTCATCAATCAAATACATTATAACACAACCAGGATGTCTCACTCTTACCCCAGCTGTGGTCCTCCGTTCATCAAGTCAAAGACCTGTGCAGGGTTGAGCAGCTGTTTGAATTTCCTTAGAAACTTAACCCCTTGGTTGTCTCCGCTCTTAGAGTTACACAGCACCAGGAGAGGGGAGGTGCAGGAGGGAGAGGTGGCCTTCCAAAAGCCTGAAGAGAAAGATAAAAAATACAGGTTTAGTTTTGGGTTGTAGGTGTGTGGTTGTCTTCACTCTTAGGGTGTGTGGTGGAAATTCAACACCAGGGACACCTGAAGTCAATATTAAATGAATAACTCTTTATTATCAGAGAGGTTACAACAAACACACGTACAAAGTACAAGTCTGCCACAAGCTCTGCCAGGGTGGTCCCTTCATTCCTATTATATACTGCTACACAAAAAAGCTACATAGGCATGGTTCATAGGGTTGGTTCCTGTAGGTAACTGGCTGTTATCATGTGGGCTCAGTTTCCCAAGAAACTGAGCAATATCTCCTATCTTAACTTCCAGAACATATTCTGGGTGTTCTGCCAATTGGTCTGAGGAGGAAGTTACAGTCACCTGCATAAACCAAGATAGAGCAGAGAAGATACTGTGTACAATTCAAGGCTATCTCTTCAGACAATAACATTTTCCCTTACAGGTGCATTCGGATTGTTTCTGAGATTTGGCCTTTTTTCCTTTCCTGGCAACTTTACCTTGACCCTGGTTTGAAAACGTTACAGAGTTCAAGGTCAAGGGAGGAAAAGTCACAAAGGAAAAGCGAGAAGAAGAAGAAGAAGATAGCGTTTGAATGAATCCGACCATCCTCGTTTGTGTGTGTGGGTATGAGAAAGAGAGAAAGTGTGGCGTGTGTGTCTCACCGTCAGAGTCGATACTATTGAGGGCTGTGGGAGGAATGATTGACACCCGACATTGACCCAGAGGACACGCCTTTCCCATCTGCTCCTTACAGCTGCTGTGCACCTATACACACACACACACACACACACACACACACACCATGAATCAGGGGTGGTATTTAGAATGTTAGAAAGGTGACATTTTCATCCAATGACCTTTTAGATCTAACACTTTCCCAGAATCCTGTAGCATCACTATGGATACCACAGCTTATGATGGAGTGTGTGATGTGTTTTTGGCTTAAAGCGTGACGTTCAGATACTGTGTGTGTGTGTGTAGACTCACAATAGCCTTGCACCATAGACATCTCCAGTCCTGCAGTCTCCTGACACTGCCACAGTTCCTGTCGCACACCACACACTTTGCACTGACTGGCAGGTTCCCCTCTAACCACTGATGAGGCATGGAGACCTGTGAACACACACATATCGAATATGCACACATGTAAGATATCTTTTACTTTTCATTCCTTTTTTAAAGCCTTACTGTATGACAGTCCCACTTCTTTCATATTAATCCATATTCATTAGAAAGGTGAGTGAAATACTGACAGGAAATGTAGGAGGAGTGGGAGAAAGGATGTACTAGAATAGCAGTAAATTTGATTCGAACCCACGCTTGCACTGATAAAATATTGTGGAGGCAGCGGCTTAGACCAGCTAGGTTGTTTTACTTGATCAGTGTTTTAATGAGCATAAGAAGAGGGAATGATGCTGCTAAGTCAATGAAAAAACATTGCGGTATAAAGAGACTTTGTGTTACCCACCCCTTCGTCATCCTCCATGATGTCGTTTCCTATGGAGGCCAGCGTGGTCCATTTACAGGTGTTGGTGGAGCGCACCGCACAGCGCTTATGGGCTTTGAACTTACACACTGGGGGAGGGAGAGAGAATGAGGCAAAGAGAGAGAGAGCGTTTGTTTGGAAACCAACAAACTAGCTACAACTTTTGTCCAAGTAACCATCTAATTTTAACCTGTTTCATTGCTTTGAATTAAAGCTGTGGATGTAAAGTTGCATGAATGAAAATAGTGTGCTTGTGTGTGTTTCTTCACAGGACAGTCCGTGGGAGGTGAGTCTGGAGAGGGCCTCTCTACAGACATGACAGAAGGTGGTGTGTGTGTGTGTGTTTACCTTCGCAGGACAGTCCATGGGAGGTGACTCCAGAGAGGGCCTCTCTACACACATTACAGAAGGTGGGTCTGGCGTGGGAGCAGGCGTACCAGTTATGCATCCCAGAAAAATGTTCCATATTGAATAGACTGGCCTGCAGAGAGAGATGGAGGGAGAGAGAGACAAAGGAAGGGAGAGAGAGAGGGGGAGGGAGAGAAGAGAGAGAGAATATGCAACTTTTACTCAAATCCACTTATAATGAGTAAATAAATGTTTAAGAATGAGAGAGAGAAATACTGCTTTCACATAGGATTTATGTTTTTTTTTTAAATAAATTGGCCGATGTTTATATGACCCCCTTACAAACAGGTCCATCAATACCATATTCTTGCCTGCATACGCCTTTTATACCTCCCGTACGAATGCAGGCATGCCGTGACGAGTGGTAGCAGTGATGTGCAGATGTGGGTGGGCCTCTATTTGATTAAATCCATTGAATATACACCATCAATAAAAAAATCCATTATTAATTTGATTAGGCAGGTCCTAAGAAACATTAGAAGACTAATAAAATATATTTTCAAAACAATAGACTGGCATATTTTGTGTTTAGTTATGTTACATCCAAATGAATTAAATCAGTAGTTGTGTTCATTAAACAGACAAGACATACTTGCCCCGATCACAGTCAACACACATACACTCACACAGTTTATTAGGTACACCACCCCGTTTACGAAAATGGTTAGTTCCTACAGACATGCAGGCAGACAGGCATCGAGGCATTCAGTTACTGTTCGATTGAACGTTAGAATGGGCAAAACGAGTGACCTAAGCAACTTTGAGCATGGTAAGATCGTCTGTGCTAGGCGCGTTAGTTCCAGTATCTCAGAAACGTCCGGCTTCCTGAGCTTTTCACACACGACAGTGTCTAGGGTTTACCAAGAATGGTGCGACAAACAAAAAACATCCAGTCAACAGCAGTCCTATGGGCGAAAACAGCTTGTTGATGAGAGAGGTCGAAGGAGAATGGCAAGAATCGTGCAAGATAACAGGCGAGCCACAAACAACGGTGCAGTACAACAGTGATGTAAAGAATGGCACCTCGGAACGCATAACTCGTCGGTCCTTATCACGGATGGGCTATTGCAGCAGACGACCACACCGGGTTAAACTCCTATCAGCTAAAAACAAGAAGAAGTGGCTCCAGTGGGCACACGATCACCAATACTGGACAATTGAGGAGTGGAAAAACATTGCCTGGTCCGACAAACCCTGGTTCCTGTTGCATCACTCTGATGGCAGAGTCAGGATTTGGCGTAAGCAGCATGAGTCCATGGCCTGTCTGGTGTCAACGGTACAGGCTGGTGGCGGTAGTATAATGGTGTGGGGAATGCAACGTTTGAACGCCACAGCCTATCTGAACATAGAATCTATTCCCCGAAGAATTCAGGCTGTTCTAGAGATAAAGGGGGGTCTGACCCGGTACTAGATTGGTTTACCTAATAAACTGGTCACTGAGTGTAAATGTTGTAGTAAGAATATAATGGAATATAAAATAATAAAATACTATTCATATTTTTCCCACACAACTTGTGTCACGGGAATGTGTGGATCCGCTGTCATATAACAAAAGTGATATTTGGAAACAGAGCCCAAGCCCATGCTTTTTTGTCCACGTTTCATCTCTTTCTTACCCTCACTCCACTTTGTTAGGGAGCAGGCGTAGGATCTTACATTGAGAGTATCTTCATCATGATACTGACAGAAAATAATATAAATTCTATTTTCGAAAGCATCTGAGTCTCGTGTTCATATTTCACAACCTCCGCAGGCTTTTGGAGTTGCCTACACGCGAGCAAATAAATCAAATCTACACTTGATTTGGGCTACATTATTGCATGCTAAATGTTTCTGATCAGTGATAGATGAGCAAACGAATAGGTGAGCTATACCACGACCACTTACACTACATTACCAAAAGTATGTGGGCACCTGCTTGTCGAACATCTCATTCCAAAATCATGGGCATTAATATGGAGTTGGTCCCCCCTTTGCTGCTATAACAGCCTCCACTCTTCTGGGAAGGCTTTCCACTAGATGTTGGAACATTGCTGTGGGGACTTGCTTCCATTCAGCCACAAGAGCATTATTGAGGTCGGGTACTGATGTTGGACGATTAGGCCTGGCTCGCAGTCGGCGTTCCAAATCATCCCAAAGGTGTTCGATGGGGTTGAGGTCAGGCTCTGTGCAGGCCAGTCAAGTTCTTCCGCACCGATCTCGACAAACCATTTCTGTATGGACCCTGCTTTGTGCACGGCAGTATTGTCATGCTGAAACAGGAAAGGGCCTTCCCCAAACTGTTGCCACAAAGTTGGAAGCACAGAATCATCTAGAATGTCATTGTATGCTGTAGCGTTAAGATTTCCATTCACTGGAACTAAGGGACAGCCCCAGACCATTATTCCTCCTCCACCAAACTTTACAGTTGGCACTATGCATTCGGGCAGGTAGCGTTCTCCTGGCATCCGCCAAACCGTGATTCATCACTCCAGAGAACGCGTAAGAGTCTGATATAACGTCTTCTGGAGTAGTTATGAGGAATTAGATTGAAACAAACGATTATTGATGTTTATTTTATTTTATACAATTGTGCGCCGCCCTATGGGACTCCCAATCACGGCCGGTTGTGATACAGCCTGGAATCGAACCAGGGGGCCTGTAGTGACGCCTCAAGCACTGAGATGCAGTGCCTTAGACCGCTGCGCCACTCGGGAGCCCAGGACAGTGTATAGGACAGTGTATATCTGCATCATGTTTTGTGTGTAATTACTATTTTTGGATTGCTGATTATAATTGAATGTTAACGAAATGTATACTTTCTCTTCCAGGAAAATTGGGATTTCCTTATCTCTCATTGAGATGTTTCCTAAGTCTGTGGGCTAGGGGGAGCAGTTAGTAGAATTCGGCAGTCTTATAATAAGGTCGTAAGAGGGAGCTACCAAAATAAATAAGGCCTGGCTATTTTTGTTTGTTGTTTTCCAATATGTTTTTTCAAATAACCACACACAATCCACCTACTATAATGGTTATATATGGTTTTTATTTTTATTTTAGGGGGTTTTAACGGGTCAGTGATGATAAGTCTTAAAGGAACACACACAGAACTTTCAGAAGTTTTTTGTTTTATGAGTGAGTTTTGACTCTTGTTAATGATTAGTCTATACTATAGAATGGAACACTTCTTTGAAGGGTTGAATGACCTCTGAACTATGTCCTGACTTTCTAGTGCGAATTGATCACCCACACTGGAAAGCCAAGAGGCATGGGAGGAGGAATTTAAGGTAATTTATTATACCGAGTTGAGGGTAATTTATAATACTGAGAATTTTGAAGAAGTTTATAATTTCGCAATAGTCCTATATATGATTCGGACCATAACAAGGTCAGAGTGAGAGAGCTAGTCCTGAAAGAGGAACACCTGGCGCTAGTCAATTTTGATATTACTTGAATTACTTTATGAGATACAATTAAGTTAAGGTATTATCAAAAGTTGTCATTTTAATCTCATTGTTGTTTTGTTTTTTTGAACGCATGAATCACGATGTGAGTCATGTGTCCAAAGGGGGGAAGTACTGGTCGCATGAGGCTTTTTGATAAATATGCAAATTGTATTAAGAATATGAGCAGTAGTAATTAATGTGTTATGGGTTAGATAAGTGTATTTGTGGTAGGAGGCAGGGTGTAGAGGAGGCCTGCCTATGAAACTAATGACCTATAACAAGCTGCAAGTATGTGCACTTCCTAATATCAAGGCGTCTCCAGACTGATAAGAAGACAGTGTATAGTAGCATACGGTGTCGCACCTAACAATGTTGTTAAGACTTTCTTCCCATGGGTGAAGGCTTCTCTGCCATACCTAACAGTAGAATCTGGGAATTGTCTGCGCCCTGGAGACTGGCGGTAAAGGATTACAGAAGTAAGAGATGGACAAAACCCAGGTGGGGAGGTCAGTACTAGGTGTTGCTGGCTACCTCGGTGGAGGGGAAAGTAGCAGAGAGAGATACCTGCATCTATGTGACCCACTGTAGGACTGTTCCAACCCAGAGGAGGAAGATTGCACCGCCACGGCGGAGCATTGTTTTATTTTGTGTCTGTCTGTGTCTGTGTGTCTTTGCAGCAGGGACTCTCAACTTCCCTATTAGTACGCTGCCAGAAGGACACACTCCACAGAGCGACATTGAAAAATGGAGAAGGACTCTGCATGATCCTAGACCCTAGTGACGGAAGAAGGTTCAGAGCTAAAAGGACCATACATCGTCACCCAGTCTACACGAACGGATGTACGGATAGAGGGGAGATCGACCTGGTCATCTAAACCACTGCAACAGAGTACTACGAGGAAACCGACGACCTAGAGATGAGGGAGCTGAGGATGCTGGAGCTGACAAGGATCAGGAGATGGGAGATGATGGCAAGGGGAATGCTACTGATGAGCTACGTGTTCTGTCTGATTCCCTCGGCGGAGGGACAGACCTCCAAGAAATTCAAGATTTTCCAGAATTTCAAGAATCACCTGACTTTCACACCATTAATTTATCTGTCTATGGAGGGTTTCCCTAACAGAAATTGGGGAGTATATTAGAAATGTGTATTAAGAATAATTGGTAAAACATAATAATTTGTCATATAGTCAATGCTTTATGGATTTATTGGATTAGAAATTAACTCAATTAAACTGTTATGTTCTGTCTTCTATTGAGGTAAATACAGATGGTGTCTTGATGCATAGCAGGGATAATTTGGCCTAGAAGGGTGTGAACCTAAAAAAAGAAACAATCTCTGAACCGGCTGAAGATTAATATCAGAGGCGTTGAAGATGTTCCTATACAGCACCACTTTTACCTGCAACTGGTCTACAACAGCCAATCGAAGCTATCAACTGATTTTTTTCATGTTTTTTTATCTCGAGGGAGTGGGACAAGAGTCCACCATTGAGTGAGAATGGAGAAAGATCTGTTCAAATACAACATTTCTCATGTTGTTGGTATACTAGTTGGCAAATGGACAAGACACAAGGGGGTGTAGAGATGGTGGTGACTCGGATGAGACATTGAAGTTGGGACATTGTCATGGGCAAGTCATTTTGAACTATGAAGCTGTCTGAAGAAGATCATGAAGAGACGCCAGAAGATTTAAGTGCCGGGGAAGGAAGGGGTTGGTTAGCTGTGTCGATAATACATTTGGATTTATCTACATTTGCTAATTTGGGTAGTACTAAGAATGCATTGAGATAATGATCTGTAGTTATTCTCAGGATGAGGAAGGTCATAATAGAATTATGGATATTTATACTGTATGTTAATATACGTGTTCACTCTGACAGTTGGAATGGGTGCTAAAGTTGAGGGTTTTAACTTTGATTGATAAGGACCCATGTGAATCACTAAGAATTGTAATTCTAAATTTGGTTGAGATAAGTAATTTGGTTTTGGTTATAATTTATAAGATGACTGAGTGATTTAAGTAAATCATTAGTATATATTAGTAACTAAAGATGTTGAAACTATTTTCAGCAGGAAGGGTATTGCTTGTACAAATGCGAGATAACTGTCTTAAATAGATATTATGGTTAAAACAGCGATACCTTATTGTAATGTCTTAGGATACACTTATATGATTTATTTCGAGTAGAACTGTTTGAATCTTACTGTTTGAAACATGTAAGTTAATGTAAGGATTGTGACTGATATCATGAACATGTTGATTATTAGGTTACTGTATTCACATGTTAGTCACTATATACATTTGAAGTATTTGTAGGTATTGATATGGGACTATGTATTCCCAAAGAGGGGGGATTGATGTGGATGTTTAGAGTGGTACATATCTCTGTTGCTAGGCAATAACTTAATTGGTTCCTATCATGGGGTTTTGTGTGTGTGACCTTTGGTTGAATTCCTCAATCCTAACTAGTCCAAGGCTGTACTGATTTAACAGGGACTGAAACCAGAGTGTTATTCTTTGTATCTCTCCTCAGTCATATTATGGGAACAGAGTCAGGGTTGAACAGAGTTGAATATTGTAACTATTAACAGTCTTGGATTTTCAAGCAATTGGGTCTGAAATGTCACTCATTGGACACTATGCAATTGATAATCACATAGCATTGGATGCTATTACAGTAGATAAAGGGGGAATGTATGCGATTATAGAGGCAGATGCATTTGTACATACTTGCCATCAGAATAGGAAGGTTTTGGGAAATTAACTAAAACTATGGGAAATATATTAGAGAAAGACAGGATTGAAAATGTGGAAACAAGACTACCTCAGTCGATATTGTAGTCTACATGTAACTTACATATTGTCATGAATCAATGTATTTTATGGAATGATGTCAGGAGGTTAGGAATTCATTTGTATGTTTTGTTTGTTTGTTTCAAGTAATGTTATATCTGTGGAATTTCACTTACAACAGCAAAATAATGAAAGGGGGGATTGATATAACGACTTTTTATACAGTATTGGTTAATGTCGTTGATCTCATATAGAGAGGATAAGGACACGCCATGTGTTAGTTATGTTACTGGTGGGTGACAGAAGGTCTGCGTGCCAAGATAGATTGGGGGCCACTGGTGCTAATCTTAGAAGGAGTATGTGATGGAATGGCCTGGCTAGGGTGCCACACGATACCATGTAGGGGGATCCTATTGTAGGAGATGAGTGGCACTCAATAATGGTTGGCAACTGGTGGATGGAATTAGCTCCGAAAGCATTATATAAACTGAGAGGTTTTCTATGTAAAGTAATTTGGATGACAATAGGCTACGCCCGTACCGCTTGTCATACGAATCCAGTACTGTAACCATTAAATAACTATGAATCAACTCTCCATCTAAGTGTTTAAATATTCTCTTACATCCTGAAGTACGAGATACCAGAGAAACTCGTCATAACAGAGTCCAATGGCGGCGAGCTTACACCACTCCAGCCGGCGCTTGGCATTGCGCATGGTGATTTTAGGCTTGTGTGCGGCTGCTAGGCCATGGAAACCCATTTCATGAAGGTCCAGACGAACAGTTCTTGTGCTGACGTTGCTTCCAGAGGCGGTTTGGAACTCGGTAGTGAGTGTTGCAACCAAGGACATACGATTTTTACAGACTACGTGCTTCAGCACTCGGCGGTCCCGTTCTGTGAGCTTGTGTGGCCTACCACTTCGTGGCTGAGCCGTTGTTGCTCCTAGACGTTTCCACTTCACAATAACAGCACTTACAGTTGACCGGGGCAGCTCTAGCAGGGCAGAAATGTGATGAACTGACTTGTTGGAAAGGTGGCATCCTATGACAGTGCCACATTGAAAGTCACTTTGATCTTCAGTAAGGCCATTCTACTGCCAATGTTTGTCTATGGAGATTGCATGGCTGTGTGCTCGATTTTATACACCTGTCAGCAACAGGTGTGGCTGAAATAGCCAAATCCACTTATTTGAAGGGGTGTCCAGATACTTTTGTATATATAGTGTATTTGCCCAGCCAGAGAATTAACCAAATATACAGATGGAGATTCAGTGAAACAAAATCATATTGATTGATTAAGACAAGTCACAGGCTTTAGGTCGGGAGGAGGCCTAGGCTACTAGGAGACTGCGAGTGATGAGCCAACTAGACAAGATGATCATGAACAGCACTCACCTCAACTTAGCTAACATTTCCACAGCCTAATTGTAGCCTAACCAATATCCAAACGGAGATTCAGTGAAAAGACAAATCTGACATTGATTAATTTATCAAGACAAGTCCCCACAATTGTCTCAAAGCAACGGAAACAGTGCTGAAATAATTGAACATACGCAGGTAAGCTATTGCTTCAAATGTATTATAACAATTGGATGACTTTGGGAGTTTCAATAAGCAACAATTTGATACCTTCAATTGCATTAGCCTACTTTAGTCCAATATTTATTCCCACAGTAATTCTTTATGGATCCATCTAGTTGTGGTTAAGAAAATAGTGCATGTGGTGGGCTATGCAAAGAGATGGGTGAAGTGACACGCCTCACAATGTTTAGAACTGGCAGAAGGATAGTAGTAATGGGTGCTGCCTAGCAACCATCAAGACCTTAAGAGCGTAGTCCATGCCAATGCTGCCTCAGCATTATGGCTACATTTCATACTAAGCTGTAGGCAGAACTTTACCGCAATCATGACTAGGTCAGTTGGCGGAAAGAAAAGCAGAGGCTTTGTCCCGGCAATACCTTACATATATAAAGAAAAGTCTGCAAAAAGTTGGTGGGATGCTAAAGTTGGAGGAAAAATTTATTGGTTTGAAAGGTGTAAAATAGATAGAGAGTTTTCACCTTTCTGTATGAAAGCAAATACAACACTGATGCATCATTTTGTACCAATGGTACGAAATGGCTAAATGCTAAATGCTACCAATTGAGTTGATGAGAAGTACCCACTGTTACCAATACATCTATTCGAAATGAACAGGCAAATACCAGAAACAGGACTATAGAATAAAACAAAAGTACAGTCAAAGGCAAAAGGGTGAGAACGAATGAATGAATGAAAGAATGAAAAGATAAAAGCTTGAGGGGATGGCGGATGGAGGGATGAGAGGATGAGTGCTTACCTCGTAAGTTTCCCATTTCTGTACAGACTTCAGAGCACCGATCCAATCCTCCATCTCTTTCCTGCTCTCAGCACACAGCATCAACTTCCTGAATGGAGTGATCACCTAGAGAGAGAGAGGGGGGAGAGGGAGCGAGAGCGAGAGAGAGATAGGGAAGGAGGGAGGGAGGGAGGGACAGGCTGTATAAGAATACATAGTACTGTAGATGTACAAAGACATACCAAGTCCTATAGTTTTGCAGTGAAGCAGTTTAGAGTGTAATAAAATTGGAATAAAGGTGTAGTCATGGTGGTCATTATGGTTACTGTGTAGCTGTAGTCATGGTTACGGTATAGGTAGGGTGTCGTCATGGTTACCGTGAAGCTGTTGTTGATGTTCTTGGTACTCGTCTCAGCCACGCTGGCGTCTGATAGGTCCACCTCGTCAAATATCAGAGACTGATGGACAACCCAAAAAAATGGAACCGAGTTAAACAAACCAAAAACAAAACAGACAGCATCTAATCATCCTCTATGAATGAAGAAAAAAGTCGTAAAGGCCCAGTGCAGTCTAAAACAGAATTTTCCTGTGTTTTATATAGATTTCCACACTATGAGGTTGGAATAATACTGGGGAATTGTGAAAATTATGATTATGCCCTTTTAGTGTAAGAGCTGTTTGAAAAGATCCCCAAAAACTATGCCAAAAAACAATTGGAGTAATAAACACATACACAATTACCTTGGAGTCTTTGGCATAGTAAAGTGTCCGGCCTCTCAGTTTGAAGTACCTCCTCTTCCATCTCTGGAAAGAACTGGTCTGTTTCAATAGGATCCCTTCCTTTACACTTTTCTATGGACAGGACAGAGAGAGAGAGAGAGAGAGAGAGGGAGAGAGAGAGAGGGGCTTGAGACTCGGAGGGTGTGTGAGTGTGTGTGCGTGTGTGTGTGCATGTGTGCATGTGTGTGTGTGTGGGTAGAAAGAGAGGGTGGGTGTGTGTGCCTGTATGATGTCTATGTTTATGTGTGTGGGTGAGATAATGTAATACAATATATAATCAAGAAGCATAACTATTCAAAGCAATCAGTTTCATTGGCTCCAAGTGCCGGGAAAGTTTCCAACATATATTTAGGGAAACACAATGGCATGCATGATGCCCTCTGTCACCTAGCAACATTCCAGCACGAGTCGATATGACAAAAACAACCTACAGACAACTTCCTCATACATGATTTTATTTTTGTCTAAGAATGCTACACGTGACATAAAAATATAATAGGGTAAGTCCCGGCAGGCTATGTGTTTTGACTTGCCTTAAAAGGGCAAAAAATAGATACAAGTAAATAAGTGAAAGTACACTACCAGTCAAAAGTTTTAGAACACCTGCTCATTCAAGGGTTTTTCTTAATTTTTACTATTTTCTACATTGTAGAATACTAGTGAAGACATCAAAACTATGAAATAACACATATGGAATCATGTAGTAACCAAAAAAGTGTTAAACAAATGAACATACAGTGGGGAGAACAAGTATTTGATACACTGCCGATTTTGCAGGTTTTCCTACTTACAAAGCATGTAGAGGTCTGTAATTTTTATCATAGGTACACTTCAACTGTGAGAGGCGGAATCTAAAACAAAAATCCAGAAAATCAAATTGTATTAATTACATTAAGTAATTAATTTGCATTTTATTGCATGACATAAGTATTTGATACATCAGAAAAGCAGAACTTAATATTTGGTACAGAAACCTTTGTTTGCAATTACAGAGATCATACGTTTCCTGTAGGTCTTGACCAGGTTTGCACACACTGCAGCAGGGATTTTGGCCCACTCTATACAGACCTTCTCCAGATCCTTCAGGTTTCGGGGCTGTCGCTGGGCAATATGGACTTTCAGCTCCCTCCAAAGATGTTCTATTGGGTTCAGGTCTGGAGACTGGCTAGGCTCCAGACTCCAGGACCTTGAGATGCTTCTTACGGAGCCACTCCTTAGTTGCCCTGGCTGTGGTCCCAGCTCTCTTCAGGTCATTGACCAGGTCCTGCCGTGTAGTTCTGGGCTGATCCCTCACCTTCCTCATGATCATTGATGCCCCACGAGGTGAGATCTTGCATGGAGCCCCAGACCGAGGGTGATTGAGCGTCATCTTGAACTTCTTCCATTTTCTAATAATTGCGCTAACAGTTGTTGCCTTCTCACCAAGCTGCTTGCCTATTGTCCTGTAGCCCATTCCAGCCTTGTGCAGGTCTACAATTTTATCCCTGATGTCCTTACACAGCTCTCTGGTCTTGGCCATTGTGGAGAGGTTGGAGTCTGTTTGATTGAGTGTGTGGACAGGTGTCTTTTATACAGGTAACGAGTTCAAACAGGTGCAGTTAATACAGGTAATGAGTGGAGAACAGGAGGGCTTCTTAAAGAAAAACTAACAGGTCTGTGAGAGCCGGAATTCTTACTGGTTGGTCGTCTCTCACAGTTGAAGTGTACCTATGATAAAAATTACAGACGTCTACATGCTTTGTAAGTAGGAAAACCTGCAAAATCGGCAGTGTATCAAATACTTGTTCTCCCCACTGTATATTTGAGATTTGAGATTCTTCAAATAGCCACACTTTGCCTTGATGAGAGCTTTAAACACTCTTGGCATTCTCTCAACCAGCTTCACCTGGAATGCTTTTCCAACAGTCTTGAAGGAGTTCCCACATATGCTGAGCACTTGTTGGGTGCTATTCCTTCACTCTGCGGTCCAACTCATCCCAAACATCTCAATTTGGTTGAGGTCGGGGGATTGTGGAGGCCAGGTCATCTGATGTAGCACTCCGTCACTCTCCTTCTTGGTAAAATAGCCCTTACACAGCCTGGAGGTGTGTTGGGTCATTGTCCTGTTGAAAAACAAATGATAGTCCCACTAAGCCCAAACCAGATGGGATGGCGTATCGCTGCAGAATGCTGTGGTAGCCATGCTGGTTAAGTGTGCCTTGAATTCTAAATAAATCACAGAAAATGTCACCAGCAAAGCACCCCCACACCATCACACCTCCTCCTCCATGCTTTACGGTGGGAAATACACATGCAGAGATCATCCGTTCACCCACACCGCGTCTCACAAAGACACGGCGGTTAGAACCAAAAATCCAGACCAAAGGACACATTTCCACCGGTCTAATGTCCATTGCTCGTGTTTCTTGGCCAAGCAAGTCTCTTCTTATTATTGGTGTCCTTTAGCAGTGGTTTCTTTGCAGCAATTCGACCATGAAGGCCTGATTCACACAGTCTCCTCTGAACAGTTGATGTTGAGATGTGTCTGTTACTTGAACTCTGTGAAACATTTATTTGGGCTGCAATTTCTGAGGCTGGTAACTCTAATGAACATATCCTCTGCAGCAGAGGTAACTCTGAGTCTTCCATTCCTGTGGCGGTCCTCATGAGAGCCAATTTCATCATAGCACTTGACGGTTTTTGCGACTGCACTTGAAGAAACTTTCAAAGTTCTTGAAATGTTCCTTATTTTCTGACCTTCATGTCTTAAAGTAATGATGGACTGTCATTTCTCTTTGCTTATTTCAGCTGTTCTTGCCATAATATGGACTTGGTCTTTTACCAAATAGGGCTATCTTCTGTATACCTCCCCTACCTTGTCCCAACACAACTGATTGGCTCAAACGCATTAAGGAAAAAAAATTCCACAAATTCACTTTTAAGAAGGCACACCTGTTAATTGAAATGCATTCCAGGTGATTACCTCATGAAGCTGGTTGAGAGAATACCAAGAGTGTGCAAAGCTGTCATCAAGGCAAAGGGTGGCTATTTGAAGAATCTCAAATCTCAAATATATTTTGATTTGTTTAACACTTTCTTGGTTACTACATGATTCCATATGTGTTATTTCATAGTTTTGATGTAGTTACAACGTAGAAAAACCCTTGAATGAGTAGGTGTTCTAAAACTTTTGACCGGTAGTGTATGTACATTGAGTATACCAAACATTAGGAACCCCCCCCCCACCCCCACCTCCCCCTCCCCCCAAGGTGTCGAAAGCATTCCACAGGGATGCTGGCCCATATTGACTCCAAGGCTTCCCACAGTTGTATCAAGTTGGCTGGATGTACTTTGGGTGGTGGACCATTCTTGATACACATGGGAAACTGTTGAGCGCGAAAAACCAAGCATCATCGCAGTTCTTGACACATACCGGTGCGCCTCGCACCTACTACCATACTCCTTTCAAAGCACTTAAATATTTTGTCTTTCCCATTCACCCTCTGAATGGCACACATAAACAATCCATGTCTCAATTGTCTCAAGGCTTAAAAATCCTTCTTTAACCTGTCTCATCCCCTGCATCTACACTGACTGAAGTGGATTTAACAAGTGACATTAATAAGGGATCATAGCTTTCACCTGGATTCACCTGGTCAGTCTATGTCATGGAAAAAGGATGTTTTGTACACTCAGTGTATATGCAGACTAAGACAGAGAGGGAGAGCGAGAAAGGGAGAGAGAAAGAGAGAGAGGGAGAGAAAAAGAGAAAGAGCGAAAGATTGAGCGAAAGAGAGAGAGAGAGAGAGCGAGAGAGAGAGAGAGAGAGAGAGAGAAAGAGAGAGGGAAAGTGAGAGAGAGAGAGCGACATCAGTGACAGAAGGCTTAACAGTGGCATGCTGCCCTGTGTGTCAGCACAACCCCTAAATATGTCCTAAGGGAACCAGACACACAGACAGGTGGGTTCCCCACCATAGCGAATCACTATGGGTGAACACACACAAACTGACAGGTTTGACAGCGCATGTGTGAGTGTGTGGTGTGTTTGACTATCCTGGTGGACAAGGTGAAAATGGCCCCATATGTTTCACAGCGCTGTTCACACCTTCACTGTGTGTGTGTGTGTGTGTGTGTGTGTATGTGAGTGTTCAATGCTGGGCACTGCTCAAGGGACTCTGCTCGGTGGTAAGGGTAGATACGTCAGACACACACACGCGCCAGTTAAGCCTGGTCCCCTTTATAAAGGGAATTTGCATAGCAGATTGGACCTTTTAACTGTCATAATTCAGCTATCTATCCTGGCAAACAGACACACACACACACACACAAACACACACACACACACACACGTCTAGAGACTGGCTCTGATGTCATGACAGCTGATATACGGTGCTATGAAAAAGTATTTGCCCCCTTTTCTAATTTTCTCTACTTTTGCATATTTGTGATACTGAATGTTATCAGATCTTCAACCAAAACCTAATATTAGATAAAGGGAACATAAGTGAACAAATAACACAACAATTACATATTTATTTAATTTATTTCATAAACAAAGTTGTGCAACACCCAATTCCCCTGTGTGAAAAAGTAATTGCCCCCTTACACTCAATAACTGGTTGTGCCACCTTTAGCTGCAATGACTCCAACCAAATGCTTCTTGTAGTTGTTGATCAGTCTCTCACGTCGCTGTGGAGGAATTTTGGCCCACTCTTCCATGCAGAACTGCTTTAACTCAGTGACGTGTGGGTTTTCAAGCATGAACTGCTCGTTTCAAGTCCTGCCACAACATCTCAATTGGGATTAGGTCTGGACTTTGACTAGGCCATTCCAAAACTTCGAATTTGTTGCTTTTTAGCAATTTTCATGTAGACTTCATTGTGTGTTTTGGATCATTGTCTTGCTGCATGACCCAGCTGCGCTTCAGCTTCAGCTCACAGACGGATGGTCTGACATTCTCCTGTAGAATTCTCTGATACAGAGCAGAATTCATGGTTCCTTCTATTAAGGCAAGTCGTCCAGGTCCTGAGGCAGCAAAGCGGTTACTGGCACAACGCTCTTAACCACTAAGCTACCTGCCGCCCCCATAATATTATATAACATTAATCTCAGGGATATTGTTATCAAAATTGAACAGGATTTATGAACTTCAATTTCTTCTTACATACATTCCACTAGGCCTATAGTCTAATACATAAAGAGTCCGAATGGGAACAAATTAAAAGCATGCAAGAAAGGGGAAAAGACCAGTGACAATCTGAGCTACTGGTGGTTACTAGGAGTCCCATTACTAGTACCCACAGTGCATTCAGAAAGTATTCAGACCCCTTCACTTTTTCCACATTTTGTTTTACGTTACAGCCTTATTCTAAAATGGATTAAATGTTTTTTTCAATCTACACACAATACCCCATAATGACAAAGCAAAAACTGGTTTTTAGAAAAGTTTGCTAATTTCTTTAAAATAAAAAACGGAAATATCACATTTACATTTACAGCATTCATTGCTCACTCCTACCAATGATGCATTGGCATCAGCCAATACCATGGCAATTCAAGATGGTGCTACCCATACCTCTAATAAACGTTGTTCATGATCAAATACTTAAAATATAGATGTCTCTATGTTACAAGCACATGTTTAGTATTAGTGGATTGAATACATCCCTTTGCTCAGCATTACTTCCTGAAGTGTTTCCATTCCCCTTTAAACAATTGCGGTGTCCTTCATAGGGCTTAACTCTATCTTGTCTTTTCAACAATGATCCCCTGATAAAAGTGTTTGGGCATGCATACAAGGGAATGGCCTATATGTGTGTGTGTGCTGGAGAGAGAGGGCAAGACTGAGAGAAAGAAAGAGAGAGAGACAAAGAGAAGAGAGAGTGAAAGGGAGAGGGACAGTCTATTACAAATGTATACAGACATAGACTAGATAAACGTGTCTAGTCTCCCTTTTGACAACGGCTAGAAGGAGTGGTGAGGCACAGAACACTTCCTCTTTCTGTCTGTCTCTCCCGATGATATGCTGTATACCAAGGAGCAGCCTCTCTCACACACGTCCTTCTCTCTATCTCCCTTCCTTCTATCTGCTTATCACTCTGTCTCATCCCACCTCTTCCTTCTTTCACCTTGTATCCGTCTCCCTTCCTCAGTCCTTCCCACTCTTCCTTTTCTCGCACCTCTCTCCCACCTATTCCATCTCTCTCACTGTAGCATATAGCAATAAGCTCTCGCTCTCGTCCCACCTCTTTTATTTCTCTCCCTCTCTCTCATTAACAGTAGCAGTGATTGTAATAAGAGAGAGAAGCACCTCTGGTCCAGCAACGAATTCATCGCTCCATCACGGCATACACAATCTAATTCCCAGAGTGTGTATGTGTCTGTATGTGTGTGTGGGTACAGCTGTAGCTGTATTTGTGTGTAGTAGGGTCATCACACAAATTCTTATTATCCTCCTGTGTGTTTGTGTGTGTGTTTATTTGTGTGTGTGTGTGTACGTGTGTACAGCTGTAGCTGTATTTGTGCCCCCAGGTAAAAAAACACAGGCAGAATCTCAGCATCTTATCAGCTCATACTGCCAGACAGAGAGAGAGAGAGAGAGAGAGAGAGAGAGAGAGAGAGAGAGAGAGAGAGAGAGAGAGAGAGAGAGAGAGAGAGAGAGAGAGAGAGAGAGATAGAGAGAGAGAGAGAGAGAGAGAGAGACCCCCACAGATCCCTAAGACAACAACACATTTAGACCCAACCAAATCATGAGAAAACAAAAAGAGAATTACTTGACACATTGGAAAGAATTTACAAAAAAACTGAGCAAACTAGAATGCTATTTGGCCCTGAACAGAGAGTACACAGTGGCAGAATACCTGACCACTGTGACTGACCCAAACTTAAGGAAAGCTTTGACTATGTACAAACTCAGTGACCATAGCCTTGCTATTGAGAAAGGCCGCCGTAGGCAGACCTAGCTCTCAAGAGAAGTCAGGCTATGTGCACACTGCCCACAAAATGAGGTGGAAACTGAGCTGCACTTCCTAACCTCCTGCCAAATGTATGACCATATTAGAGACACATATTTCCCTCAGATTACACAAATCCACAAAGAATGCGAAAACAAACCCAATTTTGATAAACTCCCATATTGGGTGAAATACCACAGTGTGCAATCACAGCAGCAAGATTTGTGACCTGTTGCCACAGGAAAAGGGCAACCAGTGAAGAACAAACACCATAGTAAATACAACTCATATGTATGTTTATTTATTTTCCCATTTGTACTTTAACTATTTGCACATTGTTACAACACTGTATATATTCATAATATGACATTTGAAATGTCTTTATTCTTTTGGAACTTCTGAGTATAATGTTTAATGTAAATTTGTATTGTTTATTTTCCCCATGCCAATAAAGCCCTTAAATTGAATTGAATTGAATTGAGAGAGAGCGAGAGAAAGGGGGGGGGGAAGGACATGAGACATGACAACAAACTGGAACGAAAACAAAGACAGACAATTTACTGGTGTGTAAACGAGGTGAAGTCTGAGGTCAACCCTTGAGGCTGGAAACTCATAGACAAATAAACACAAAACTATGTCATCCATCTCACCCTCCCTCAACCTCTCCTTCAGACTCTGTCAGTCCTTAGTCACCCATTCATTCCGTTCTCCTCTCCTTCTCCCCTCACTCTCTTTCTCAGTCCAGACTGTGTCAGTTGGATCTTGTCAGTCAACCAGTCAGTCAGACAGACGAGGCTAGTCATTAAAGTAGGACTAATCACATGTACTACCATTTAAACCCTATCTAACCCTGTGGGCTCTGTTAGTGGGCCTGCTGCAACACATACACACTGACATACCTGTATGTTATAGCTCTGTGGTTTCTCTGTGTAGCTGGTCTCCAGTTCGTCTCCGTGACTGAGTTGGCTATCGTCCCCGTGTCCTGCCCCCACCTCACAGTGGAACAGCAGGGGGGACAGACAACACACACTGCTAGGACACCACTTGAGCATGATGGCTCTCTGTCTGTCTGCCTATCTCTCTGTATGTCTGTCTGTCTGCCGCACATTGATGTCCTCACTTGCAGTTAGCCTGTTAACTACAATAGGGAGACACTACTTTCCGCTTTACTTTTCTGGGACCCAGGACAACAGAATCAGACGTTTCTCTGTCTGTCTCTGTCTCGCTCTCTCTCTCGGTCTCTCTCTTTCTCTCTCTCTTTCTGCCAATCTCTCTCTCTCTCTCTCTCAAAATCCTAAGCAAGACTACTGAAGTCCTCTCTCCTTTTTAATGTCATCAAACTTCACTTCCTTCTCTGGTGTTCTCTCTCTCCGGTAACTGAACAGTCCAACATTGCGGTGATTCTCTCTGTGTTAACTGCTGATCCAACTAAACTGTTTCTACATACTCCCTGTTTCGCTCCAGGCCTTAGGATTAAGGCACTCCCACACAGGTGTGTAAGAGGACACACCTTTACCAGGATGACATGCAGATCATCTACCCTCCTCCTTTTCACTCTCTCTTAATTTAACCTCATCTCTTTCAGCTATTTCCTTTGCCAAACACTTTTGATTCAATTCAATTTCAATTCAATTTCAATGTAAGGGCTTTATTGGCACGGGAAACATATGTTTACATTGCCAAAGCAAGTGAAATAGATAATAAATAAAAGTGAAATAAACAATAAAAAATGTACAGTAAACATTACACTCACAAATGTTCTAAAAGAATAAAGACATTTAAAATGTCATATTATGTCTATATACAGTGTTATAATGATGTGCAAATAGTTAAAAGTACAAAAAGGAAAATAAATAAACACAAATATAGGTTTTATTTACAATGTTGTTTGTTCTTCACTGGTTGCCCTTTTCTTGTGGCAAAAGGTCACAAATCTTGCTGCTGTGATTGCACACTGTGGAATTTCACCCAATAGATATGGGATTTGTTTTAGAATTCTTTGTGGGTCTGTGTAATCTGAGGAAAGAATGTGTCTATAATATGGTCATACATTCGGCAGGAAGTTAGGAAGTGCAGCTCAGTTTCCACCTCATTTTGTGGGCAGTGTGCACATACCCTGTCTTCTCTTGAGAGCCAGGTCTGCCTACGGCTTCCTTTCTCAATAGCAAGCATAGTCAAAGATTTCCTTAATTTTGGGTCAGTCACAGTGGTCAGGTATTCTGCCACTGTGTACTCTCTGTTCAGGGCCAAATAGCATTCTAGTTTGCTCTGTTCTTTTGTAAATTCTTTCCAATATGTCAAGTAATTATCTTTTTGTTTTCTCATGATTTGGTTGGGTCTAATTGTGTTGTTGTCCTGGGGCTCTGTGGGGTCAGTTGGTGTTTGTGAACAGAGCCCCAGAACCAGCTTGCTTTGGGGACTCTTCTCCAGGTTTATTTCTCTGTAGGTGATCGCTTTGTTATGGAAGGTTTAGGAATTGCTTCCTTTTAGGTGGTTGTAGAATTGAACAGTTCTTTTCTGGATTTTGATAATTAGCGGGTATCGGCCTAATTCTGCTCTGCATGCATTATTTGGTGTTTTACGTTGCACACAGAGGATATTTTTGCAGAATTCTGCATGCAGTCTCGATTTGGTGTTTGTCCCATTTTGTGAATTCTTGGATGGTGATTCTCTTTCTCTCTCTTTCTCTCTCTCTCTCACACACACACACACACACACACACACACACACACACACACACACACACACACACACACACACACACACACACACACACACACACACACACACTCCCCTTTAAGGTGTGTATTCAGGTAGGAAGTGGGAGGGGAGAACAGGTAGGACCTGTTAGACTGGTTACTGTAGATGGGAACACACACACACATTTTGTCTCTGTTAGATATTATACTGAACAAAAATGTAAAAGCAATGAGATGAAATAAAAGATCCCAGAAAGATCCCAGAAATTTTCCATACGTACAAAAAGCTTATTTGTCTCAAATGTTGAGCACAAATTTGTTTACATCCCTGTTAGTGAGCATTTCTCCTTTGCTAATATAATCCATCCACCTGACAGGTGTGGCATATCAAGAAGCTGATTAAACAGCATGTACATTACACAGCTGCACCTTGTGCTGGGGACAATAAAAGGCCACTCTAAAATGTGCAGTTTTGTCACACAACACAATGCCACAGATGTCAATTGGCATGCTGACTAGGAATGTCCACCAGAGGTGTTGCCAGATAATGTTATGTTAATTTCTCAACCATAAGCCACCTACAACATCGTTTTAGAGAATTTGGCATTACGTCCAACTGGCCTCACAACCACAGGCCACGTGTAATCACGTCAGCCCAGGACCTCCACATCCGGCTTCTTCACCTGCGGGATCATCTGAGACCAGCCACCCGGAGAGCTGATTAAACTGTGGGTTTGCACAACCGAAGAATTTCTGCACACACTGTGTGCTCGTTGTCCTCACCAGCGTATTGACCTGACTGCAGTTCGGCGTCGAACCGACTTCAGTGTGCAAATGCTCACCTTTGATGGCCACTAGCACGATGGAGAAGTGTGCTCTTCACGGATGAATCCCGGTTTCAACTGTACCGGGTAGATGGAAGACATGGCGTTGTGTGGGCGAGCGGTTTGCTTATGTCAACGTTGTGAACAGAGTGCCCCATGGTGGCGGTGGGGTTATGGTATGGGCAGGCATAAGCTACGGACAACGAACACAATTGCATTTTATCGATGGCAATTTGAATTTCCCCAAAGATACAGTGACGAGATCATTGTCGTGCCATTCATCCGCAGCCATCACCTCATGTTTCAGCATGATAATGCACAGCCCCATGTCACAAGGATCTGTACACAATTCCTGGAAGCTGAACATTTCCCAGTTCTTCCATGGCCTGCATATTCACCAGTGTGTTTGGGATGCTCTGGATGCTCACGGCCCTACCTCATTTTTTTTTAACCTTTTCACAAGTCAGTTGCAAATATCTCTAATGGTTGCCCCAGCGTGAGTTGTTTTATGCACGTGATGTCAGAATGCACTCACTGTTCCAAAATGTGATTGTTACACAACAGGACAGTTAACAGGCGCTGCCTGCTAATTATTTATAGACTATGTTTCAACTTGTCAATTACAAATGATTTCCTAACAAGTTTTATTTTCTAACAACAGTTTGAATTGAGGTGTGTTCCGCCTCCTCATTAATTCACATAGAAGTAGCCGATTTCAGTGTTGCGAACAATTTATGTTTGAGGCTTTACTGAGCCGGACAAACTTCTATCTTCGAGGAGAGCCCAAGGACTTCTGCAGTGTTTCCGCAGATCAAGTATGCAGACATTTGCGCAGTCTAGCACGAACTGGCATATTTTCTGGCTGGTGCTCGCATTGCCGTCATTGTTGTTTTCCTACAAATAATAACTTTGGACAGGTGAGCATTCCTATCAACGTAAGTGCCTTATTTTCTGTACAGTGAGGGAAAAAAGTATTTGATCCCCTGCTGATTTTGTATGTTTGCCCACTGACAAAGACATTATCAGTCTATAATTTTAATGGTAGGTTTATTTGAACAGTGAGAGACAGAATGACAACAAAAAAATCCAGAAAAACGCATGTCAAAAATGTTATAAATTGATTTGCATTTTAATGAGGGAAATAAGTATTTGATCCCTCTGCAAAACATTACTTAGTACTTGGTGGCAAAACCCTTGTTGGCAATCACAGAGGTCAGAAGTTTCTTGTAGTTGGCCACCAGGATTACACACATCTCAGGAGAGATTTTGTTCCACTCCTCTTTGCAGATCTTCTCCAAGTCATTAAGGTTTCGAGGCTGACGTTTGGCAACTCGAACCTTCAGCTCCCCTCCACAGATTTTTTTATGGGATTAAGGTCTGGAGACTGGCTAGGCCACTCCAGGACCTTAATGTGATTCTTCTTGAGCCACTCCTTTGTTGCCTTGGCCGTGTGTTTTGGGTCATTGTCATGCTGGAATACCCATCCACAACCCATGTTCAATGCCCTGGCTGATGGAAGGAGGATCTCACCCAAGATTTGACGGTACATGGCCCCGTCCATCGTCCCTATGATGCGGTAAAGTTGTCCTGTCCCCTTAGCAGAAAAACACCCCCAAAGCTTAATGTTTCCACCTCCGTGTTTGACGGTGGGGATGGTGTTCTTGGGGTCATAGGCAGCATTCCTCCTCCTCCAAACACGGCGAGTTGAGTTGATGCCAAAGAGCTCAATTTGGGTCTCATCTGACCACAACACTTTCACCCAGTTCTCCTTTGAATCATTCAGATGTTCATTGGCAAACTTCAGACGGCCCTGTATATGTGCTTTCTTGAGCAGGGGGATCTTGCGGGCGCTGCAGGATTTCAGTCCTTCACGGCGTAGTGTGTTAACAATTGTTTTCTTGGTGACTATGGTCCCAGCTGCCTTGAGATCATTGACAAGATCCTCCCGTGTAGTTCTGGGCTGATTCCTCACCGTTCTCATGATCATTGCAACTCCACGAGGTGAGATCTTGCATGGAGCCCCAGGCCGAGGGAGATTGACAGTTCTTTAGTGTTTCTTCCATTTGCGAATAATCGCACCAACTGTTGTCACCTTCTCACCAAGCTGCTTGGCGATGGTCTTGTAGCCCATTCCAGCCTTGTGTAGGTCTACAATCTTGTCCCTGACATCATTGGAGAGCTCTTTGGTCTTGACCATGGTGGAGAGTTTGGAATCTGATTGATTGATTGCTTCTGTGGACATGTGTCTTTTATACAGGTAACAAGCTGAGATTAGGAGCACTCCCTTTAAGAGTGTGCTCCTAATCTCAGCTCGTTACCTGTATAAAAGACACCTGGGAGCCAGAAATCTTTCTGATTGAGAAGGGGTCAAATACTTATTTCCCTCATTAAAATGCAAATCAATTTATAATATTTTTTACATGCGTTTTTCTGGAATTTTTTGTTGTTATTCTGTCTCTCACTGTTCAAATAAACCTACCATTAAAATTATAGACTGATAATTTCTTTGTCAGTGGGCAAACGTGCAAA